GTTAACAATCACACAATTAACTATTAACAAAATTAGTCAAGAACATTGGGAGTTAACAATCACACAATTAACTATTAACAAAATTAGTCAAGAACATTGGGCGTTAACAATCACACCGACTCGCCGTCGTGCTCTGCAACAGAATATCGAGAAGCAGCAGCAGGAGCAGCAGCCGTAGAAGCAGCAGCCGCGGTAGAAGCAGAAGCAGCCGTAGAAGCAGCATCAGGAGCCGTAGAAGCAGAAGCAGCAGCAGCAGAAGCAGCAGCAGCAGCCGTAGAAGCAGCAGCATCAGCAGCCGTAGAAGCAGCAGCAGCCCTAGGAGCAGCAGCAGCAGGAGCCGTAGAAGCAGCAGCAGAAGCAGCAGCAGCAGAAGCAGCAGCAGCAGCAGCAGAAGCAGCAGCAGCCGTAGAAGCAGCAGCAGCCCTAGGAGCAGCAGCAGCAGGAGCCGTAGAAGCAGCAGAAGCAGCAGCAGCCATAGAAGCAGCAGCAACGCGCCGCTTTCTCGACAGTGACAGCCGCAACTCTGCATCATCCAACTCGAGCACCGCCTCCGATGGGTCGCGTGTGATGTGCCCCCCCCCTCACTCACTTCACACAGCCCCCCCCCCCCCTTCAGCTGTGTCAGTCTCACTGTACAACGAGGGCTTTCAACCACACCGGGCGGGTTACGTGCGTTGAACGTTCAACTTCTTTTGCACCGCACGTGGCCGACCGGTGCTAATGGGAGGTGCGGGGGAAGGGCATTACACCAGTCGCAAAAAAAAGCGGGTTGTTGAAGAAATGAAATTTGAACCTACGACACGCTCACTACGATATTACACTCACTACCACACACTACTACTGCATGTATGTATGTTGAACTACTTTCGCACTAATTTTTGATTTAAAGCATTCGTGACTGCAGGGAGTCACATTCTTGGTTCTTTCGGTAAAGTCACGTAGAAGGGAAACAATGAAATAAAAAAATATAAAACAATAAAATTATCACGACGTTTCGACTGCAACACAAGCAATCATCATCAGGTGTGAAAACCACAGCAAGAAAATTTGAAACTGTATGTAGCCAACCGTTCTAATTGGAGCTTCGCGGGTAGAACCGCAGACTCAACGCAAAAAGCAGTTAAAAAGAAATGAGTTTTAAATCTAGAGCGTATACACTGTGTATAGACAAATACAAAGATCTCGCCGTATATCCGTTACAGACTATTGTTACGGAGTAGCACCTATGAAGGCCGCCACGGCATATAGAATCAGAACCTTTATTTCAGACTGTACGAGGAATCGGATGAGCTATGAAGCTCTTTTTCACAGATGTCCAGCATGGGCAGGGTCAGCAAAGTAACATCATCAACAAACACAACACACACAAAAAAACACGATAGGAGTTCAAAATTGAGAAAATGATAGACAATGGAAGTCATGGAGGTTCTCTAGCCATACTTCACCACGCGGGGAGCATGAAAGCACAGCACAGCAATACTTCTTGCAGCACTGCTCACCGCTAGCCTTGAACGTTAGCCCCAAAATCACCATCCACAGGATAAGCGCCCGCTCTGCGTAATACAACAAGAACGTAATCTTTCACAAAATTACTTCCGGGCAGGTATGGAACAAACTCACTCACCCAGCTCGGCCTTTACTATCAACTTATTTTTTTCAAATTTCACCAGGTAAGGCCCACTGGTGCCTAAATAGATCCTTTTCAGAAGTAATCTGGCCACAAATGATAGCTAAAAGAAGTGACCTTATCGCCTGGAAATGTATAGCAACCAAATATTCTCGACGCATGTTTATAATATTTGGCGGAAAACCCAGAGAAAAATCTACGTGACCACAGGGAGAGAGACACGGGAATTCCAAATATACAGTAGCATGGTTCGGGATCAAACCCACGGACCTCCTGTATACCAGGCGAGGTAGTTAACATTTCTTAGCCACCGTGATGGCGATGAGAGAGACGCAAACTCCAAATATACAGCAGCCAGGCATCATCAGGGTGTCGGGGTCAAACCCACGAACCTCCTGTATACCGGGCGAGGTAGTTAACATCTCGTCACTGTGGCCCCCTTAGGGGCCATTCGTTTAGTACGTACGAATGGAGGGGGGGGGGGTTAACCCAAATGCGTACGCTTGCGTATGGGGTGTCTACTGACAATGTACGTACGCATAGGAAAAGGGGGGGAGGGGGGGGCTGAAGCCTCGATAATAATTTGCCTACATTGGCCTTTCAAATGAGCCGCAGTTCAGTTTCTTCAGCTGTCATTACAACAAGTACTACCGGTACAAGTGGGACTGTGGGAGAAGTCACACTTTGTGTGCCACCGTACCCCTGACTGCAGCTATCACGCAGCTCAGCAAAATGAGTGGACAAGATACGCAATTTAATTATTTAATGCAGCCGGCGGTGGGCTATCTGTTTGCTTAAACACGTTAATACTATTAACCCTTGATGATTTCTGCGTGGATTAAATATCGGCCGTTCTATAGGATTTGGGGGGGGGGGGGTGTTAAAAGTTCGCGTGCGTACAGGGAGGGTGGGGAGGGGTCAAGTTTTGACAGATTTCTGCGTATCTGCTAAATGAATGGCCCCCTACTCCGCCATGTGTCGCCTATCGTTGTCTGTGAGTTTCCGCACTCAGTAGCACCCCGAGCACGATCGGCAACAACGGGGACCAACACGAGTCCCAGCGATCCCAATTGAGTTTACGTGGACATCTTCTCTCTCTCACTCTAACAAATGTGTCGTTAAACCCGCCACCACCCGACAAAGCCAATTAGTAAGGTTTGCCACGTAAACAGAACGTGCCAAATTAGTCACGGCTTCAGCACAACGGTGGTGTTGGAGAGTAAACCTCTCCGCTCGCTCCAGAAATCCCGTGCGAATGTCATTGCTTCTTAAGGACACGCATTAGGAGTGGATGATAAATGGGGACGTGTAAATGTTTTTTTTTGAACACCAATAAACATCTCCGCAACCTCGATTGCCCATTCATTAGTGAGATACTTACAGGCACTACGAGAATACGCTCAAGTCCTGCATGGCATTGTATCACATTTCCACTGTACGTATTTACTTTCATTGCCTCGTAAGTGGAATTGTAAAAACCACCCCACCCCCGTGTTCCATCAAGCACGGCCATACGATAGTCGCTAAGAGTTGGTCTCATTTAACCGGCGAGACGGAGGAAGACGCACACCCATATCTGCAAATCCGCCTACTTCAGTCTTGTTTTCCTAAAAATATATGCCGGGGATTATATTGTCCGTTTATTGCTGGTCCAGAAGATAAATGCAAAGAAAGATAGCTCTCTCAAATAGCCCTCACGTACTCCATTATGTGTGTGTGTGTGTTTAAAGTGCACTCTCCTATATTTAATAACCTCGGCGCTGCAGGGGGCTTTGGCTGAGTTGGGAGACTCGCTGGCGCGGATCCGCACACAGGCGCCCTTCGTGTTTGCGCTGCCCCACTGACTCGTTCCACGTCGAGTCCTGGCGATTACTCGCGCAAACAAAGACAAAGATACCCCGCGTAGCCTGTGACAGACTGGTGAGGGCAAGTGCTGTTAGCGAGTAGCACCTGTGAAGGCCGGTTCCACGACCGACAGCCTTTGTCTCCACAGTGGAGATTTTTTTTACACACCGCACCAGGTACTCATTTGAGGCTGAGTCGACTTAAGGGAGGCCCAGGACCTGTTCAGATAATCGTCACTGGTGTTGGCCGTGAGCGGGGATCGAACTCAAGTCGTAGCGCAGCACACTAACCACTTCCGCTCAAACGGAGCAAAAGACAAAGATGCCCCGTATAGCCTTAACGTACTGTCTGTGCTGTTAGCGAGCAGACACACGGGTGATGGGGAGATTGCAGCCGCTGTATTTTAGTGCTGTCACGTGCAATCACAGGGCGTCTGCGTCTCCTCCACATGAAGACTTCTGTTATTGTAGACAAACACTAATCATGGAAGAAAAAAAAAGATGAAACGCAACCGAGGATAGTGCGCGTGTAGACAGAATTCTTAACCCACAGTTACAAAACTGCGAGTTCAGATTGCGGTCAGCTGGTTCACTCAGCCCATCGTGTCACCAGGCGCCACGGTGGCTAGGAGATGTCAACTACCCTGCCTGGTATGCAGGAGGACGTGGGTTCGATCCCGACCCTGATGCCTGCTGCTGTATATTTGGAGTTTGCGTCTCTCTCTCCCCGTGATCGCGTTGATTTTTTTCCGGGTCCTCCGGTTTTTCGCTCCACATTTACAAACCTGCGTTTGGAATATTTTGGCCGCTTTGCATTTCCACACGATGAGCCACTTCGTTGAGCTATCATTTGTGGCCAGGTCGCCTCTGAAAAAGAGCTACATAGCTGAGTGTGTATTTCCTGGTGAAATATAAATAGTTTTATATTTTTGGGGTCTTTCGGTAAAGTCACGTTGCGATCGAAACGTCGTAGTTTTTAGCTATTTTCTATTAACCTCTCTACGTGACTTTACCGAAAGACCCAAAGAATATGAATTCCTGCAGTCACGAAAGCTTTAAGTCAAAAATAGTTGTAGTTGATAGAAACGAGTTTTACTTCGTGCGAAGCCACCAGTGGCTCCAGCAACAGAAACTTGCCATTCCCACTACTAAGTCCCACTCGCATAGAGGCGAGCAACAGCCCATTGCTCAATCGAGCCGGGAGACGCAATAGCAGCAACAGCAGCAAGACTCGAACCGGTTCTGAACGAGGAGCCACTTTACGCACGGCTTGAGGCAGTGGTGTCGGCGAGGTTGGCAAGCCTCCCACGTCCACCCCCCCCCCCCCGGTGCAAAATAAATTAAAGCCGCTTGTCCAATGTCACCCCACTCCTCAGCCCGGTACCAGAGCATCCCCTCTAGCACCCTCGGCTGCGCACTGCGAAGCTACGCCACTCGATTGAAACTTAACCCTCGTTCGTTTTTTGTTTGTTTGTATGCTTGGGCCTGGCCCTCATGGCGTCTCGCGCGTGCGCACCGGTGGGTCCCAGACGTCGCAGGCGCAGCAGACGCTGCTGGCCGTGATGCACGAGGGGACGGGGGCGGTGCGCCTGGCGCTGCACGTGTCGCCCGCCAAGCTGCTGTTCGAGTTCTCGCCGGGGGGCGCCGGCAGCACCGGGCGCCACCTCGTCTCGTTCGGCGGCGTGCGCGTCCTCGACGCAGCGTGGCACACGCTCGTGATGAGCGTCGCCGGCAACGGCGCCACCCTGGCCGTGGACTGCGGGGTCCCCGTGCTCGCGTCAGTAGCGTGCGATGCGCGCCCACCCCCCACTCCCTCCGCTCCACTTGCCCCCCCCCGTCATTTTCATTCTCGTCAACAAAGATCATCATCGACTTCAAAGTTTCGTGACTGCAGGAATTCATGTTCTTTGGTGCTTTCGGTAAAGTCACGTGGATATAAAAAAACATAAACTCTCTCCGCCTGATGAAGACCGCTTGTGTTGCGATGGAAACGTCGTGAGTTTTTGGTTTTATAAAATTTTTATTATTATTATTTTATTATTTTCTATCTCCGTGACTTTATCGAAAGAACCGAAGAATAAGATCATCATCGTCGTCGTCATTGTCATGGTTACATCATCCACACTCGTGTCAGCAGTGGACAGTGCACGCATCCCATCGTCGTCATCGTTGTCATCATCTTCATCAACATTGGCACCATTGTCATCATCATTCCACCCATGCAGACGACGATAGCACACTCATCTATAGGTGCCTGCCATCGTCGTTCACATCGTCATCACGATCATCCCACCCATTCACACGTCAGTAGTGGATGCTTAGCTACACGTGCCTCCCCCATCGCCATCGTCACGTTCCCACCCATGCGGCACATCAGCAAGAGCCCACGTGGAGGATCATGCCTGCGTGGCCCGAGCTAGCCTGGCGAGAGAGGGAGGCAGGGAGCCGCTGGCAGCACCGCCTTTACCAATGCACCACAGCAACCACGTTTGTGCCTCATCACTCTCTGTCTCTCTCTCTGTGTGTGTGTCTGCTACAGGGAGATGGAAACCACCTTCCCGTCCCAGATGAGCGTGCACCGAGCGACATTTTACGTCGGCAATCGCCGCAGGTCTAAGGGCACGTTCACGGTAAGGAACGCTGCAACCGCATGGCCTCACACCTGTGCGGGCTTGGCACCCATTAACATCCGGCTTGAAAAACTACGTAAGTTCCATTCCGGATTATAAACAATAATAACTTGCAAGAGCCCTCCGCTGCGCAGGCGTGGTTTCATTTCTTTATTTGTGAGTTTACCGTTCTGCTGCACGGTCACGTTACGCTTTGCGAACGTCCCTATGAGAATTCCTGGACGCACCGCGCATATTTTCTCAAGTGAACTGGTGTGTATGTATGTAGAACTTCTTTAGCACCGTACGTAAGCAACCCGCGCTGATCGGTGGTGCGTGGGAAGGACCACAAACTGAACGCAAAAAAAAAACATTTCTACAGAAATGCGTTGTTAACCAAGATGCTCTTAAAAAGGCGCAGACGCAGGGCGCTCGGAAAGCAACACGGATAGAAGATGCGCTGAGCCCGAGTTGGCTCTTCTCTGGGCGTCCTCTCGAGTTCAGTGTCTCGCGCCGCGATGCCGCGTGCCCCCCGGCTCCGTGGCCACCGTGGTTCCATGCTCGCGATGCGTGCCCGCGCGGCCCCGCTCTGACACAGACTCGTGAGCGACTCCCGAGGCAAGCTGCGTGAACCCTTCTAGATTTAAAGCTTTCGTGACTGCTAGGATCCATGCTCTTTGGTTCTATTGGGTAAAGTCACGTAGCTGTCCTCCAGACAGTCTCATCCCTTCACCTGATGAAGGCCGCTTGTGTTGTGGCCGAAACGTCGTGATTTTTTGTTATTTTATTTTCACCTACGTGACTTTACCCAATAGAACCAAAGAGTATGCGTGAACCCTCTCACGTCTCGCCGGCCTTTAAAAGCATCGCTGCGGGCGTGAGCGACGCTTATTGGCCGCGAAATTATCCGTCTTAGCGAGCGCCCCCAGGGCGTTTTATTTTTTTGTCTCCGCGGCTGCGTGTCGAAACCTCGGACAATTGAATGATTTTAAGATGTACTCAAAAGCGGCGCCGGTGACGGGCATCATCTTGATGCAACGCCTGCACATTTGACTTGGCGATGTGGAAGCCAGTAAGCGCTGTCGAAATGCTTCGTTAGGCGCAGTCACTCCACGGGAATCCCTCCGTTGACATGGCCCACGGCCCAACCAGTTTGGCAAACATTGTCAGATGCTCGCCTCGCTCCCGTGAGTGCCACGTGTTGATGAGACAGTTCCACTCGATGGCCGACAAAGTGCAAACGATAACAACACGCCACGGACGAATTAACGTGCATCATAGATGTCGTTCAATTACCGTATATCTTTTTATTCTGACATCAGCTCATCCATTCTGTCACCTCCATCATTTATCTCGTCCTTTTCTCCATCTCCCCCGCACATCTTGAGCGCCTCCCCTCCCCTCCTGCTCCATTACAATTCAGTGGCGCTTGTTGCTTCATGTTGGATATGCGTGTGCTCCGCTCTGAAGGTCTGTGGTGCATGGAAGATTACGCGCAGTTCTACATCGTTCGCCGTCGTGCAAAAACGGTGGCCACCGGATCATGCGCGGCGCTTCCAGACGCGCTTTTGCCACTGTCTGGAACGCTCTTCCCTCCGATATTAGGAAGCCACTATGCACTTTTAAATCTAGATCGAAAGCTCATTTATTTTAGAAATGCTGTTTGTGTTCAATTTGTTGCCCTTACCCCGCACCTCCGATTAGCACGGTTGGCTACGTATGGTGCGAAAGAAGCTCAAACTATATACAAATTAGAGAGAGACCAGGGGAAAGTGCGATAGGTCTCCCGTGACCCAGGAGCAGAGATTCGTCTCAAAGTGGAACATCTCTGGAGCAAAGGGTTCTCTCTGCGAGCTTACCTTTCGCCCACTGATAAGAAAACAGTCTCCCTCACCTTCCCTTACTCAAAAAACAAAATAACAAAAAAACAATAATTGCAATCGTAAGATGTTTCAGATATATTTACTTGGCCAAAAAATATCACCTGAAAAAGTATTACCCGTGCCCCTCCCTCCACGCCCCACTGGGCGGTGGTGACGAGATGTTAACTTCCTCGCTTGGTATACAGGAGGTCGTGGGTTCGATCCCGACCTTGACACCTGTGTATTTGGAGTTTGTGCGTTCTCCATGTGGTCGCGTGGATTTTTCTTCGGGTTATCTGCTTTTTCCCTCCACGTTTAGAATCAAGCAGGCAAGGTGCTGACTGCTGTGTTAGCCGACTCTCTGTGTTGTATTGCATTGTATTCTAAGTTCATTAGGTTTCTTTTCTACCTGATGACGATTGCTCGCGTTGCAATCGAAACGTCGCATTCTATTTAATTTATTTTCTTTCTACGTGACATTACCGTAAGAACCAAAGAGTAATCAACATACCTTTCGAGTATTTGGTTGATCAAAAATGTCCACGTGATGAGCCACTTCACTGGGCTATTATTCGTGCGCACAGGTCGCTCCTGAAAACGAGCCACGGTGGGGGCCTCACCTGGTCAAGCAAAATTAAAATAGTTTGCAGTTTTAGCAGCTGGCAACGTCAGCGAACATCGGCGTTCCGCTGCTTCGTGATGGGAGCCCCCTCCGTGGGGGGCGCCCGAAGGCAGCGGTCACTCACCGAGCGCCCTCATCCCCTTGTTTGTGTTGACAAAGGAGGCAGAGACTTCTTCGTAGGCAACACTGTTTATTTACTCTAACGTCAGAGAGCGTCCCTAACACAGAGAGGTAACGACCTCTCCCACCCGATAGCCTAGAGGATGATACGTCCTCACACTCAGTGTGCCCTCCTCACACTATACCCTGCTTAACGGGTACCGCCACTGGGCCGTTCGGACCTGGCACTGACAAGGGCCGGAGGTCGGAAGTCCCAGGGGGGCACTATGTCGATGTCTTGAGTCTTGATGTGAGTGCGGACTGACTCACGCTGGGAGAGCTGCTGCTGCCTTTTAAATCCTTCCTCTCCCAAGCCTCCTGTCTCTCGAGAGGGTCTGGGTCCAACCGTTGCCCCCCCCCAGCCCCCTCCCTAAGTGGGCTGTGGCCCCCTCACCCCTGGTCAACGGTTATTGTAGTAGTGACTCACACAATACTGCTACGCAGGTAAGTATTACACATGTTGCGCGTAACAATGCCGCTACATTTGTATTCGCTCGCCAGGGGCTGCTGAGGCAGCTCGTGCTGCTGCCCGGCGCCGACGCCACGCACATGCTGTGCCCGAGCCCCGACCCGCAGACGGCGGCACTGCGCATCCCCCCGGCTCTCGCCCTCATCCCACCTGGGCCCCCTCGCAGCCGCACTCCCTTCGGTGAGATCGCCCCGCCGTCACCCCACCACGCACTCACCCTGCCCTCACCCGGCCCTCACTCCATGCTCACCCTGCCCTCTAAACTAAACTAAGGCTCACTCAGCTACGTAGCTCTTTTGTTTAGAAGCGACCCGGCCACAAATGATAGCTCAGCGAAGTCGCCGATCATGTGGAGATTTATAGCAGCAAACTATTCTAAACGCTTGATGTTGATTCTACACGTGGAGGGAAAACCCAGCGGACCCAGAGAAAAACCCACGGGACCACGGAGAGAGAGAGAGAAACACACGCAAGCTCCAAATATACAGCAGGCGTCAGGGTTGGGATCGAACACACGGATGTTTGCATATCAGGCGAGGTAGTTAACATCTCCTCGCTCACCGTGGCGTCCCTCTCCCTGCCCTCTCTCTAAGGCACCGGTGCGCCGGTGCTGAGAGTTGTGAAAGGAGCCGTCAGGCGTTGTGGGGTTTTCGTTGGGAAGGGTTGGGGTTAGGGCCGGAGATGCCCGGTTAACACCGGAAAACAACGTTATCAGCAGAAGCCTTTATTTCCAGCCGCAATCAGGTAACCCCGGCGGAAAGCCCTTTATGCCAAAAGCCAGGGAATATTTCCAGTTTTTTTTTGAAGGGACAGAGATTCAAAGAGCGAGCGCTGATGGCAGCGGCAGATGGGAATCTCATAACTATAAACAGGTGAGCCCTGCCCTACAGCGCGCCGATGGTCTCACACCCACACACACACACCAGAGACAAAGATTCCTTTGGAGGATGTTGGGACAAGTGCTGTTGGTGAGCAACTATTTTGTGGCTCCAATGACACACGTGGGTGTCGTGGTTGGCACCACGTCCAGCCACCTTTGTCTCCCCATTGCTGATGTTTAACGCACCTTACCAGGTTGTCGTTTTATGGCTGAGTCGACCTAGGGGAGGCCTGGGACGGGTTCAAATATTTGCCACTGTTATTGGTGGTGAGCGAGAATCAAACCCGGTTAAGCATGGGGATAGGGCAGTGCGATAACCACTACGCCACCGCTCCCGACAGACACACAACCAGATGTAGACAAAGAACAAACACACAAAGACTCCCGTATAGCCTCAACAGACTGTTGGGGCAAGTGCTGTTCGTAGGCATGTATGAAGGCTGGCACGGCACACGAGCGGGTGGGTGGCCAACGTCACACCCGGCAGCCTTTGTCTCTCTAGTGGCGACGTTTACACAGCGCACACCAGGTACTCATTTGAGGCTGAGTCGACCGAGGAGAAGCCCGGGACCGGTTCAGATAATCGCCACCGGCGTTGGCCGTGAGCGGGAATCGAAGTCGGTTCGTCGGGTTCGTAGCTCAGCGCGCCAACCGCTGCACCACCGCTCCCCACACCAGACGTAGACGCAGACACACACAACGCACTCGCCGTCGAACAGGCGTGTGGCTTGCTCTGACAGACTGCCCAGACAGGTTGGAAGAGGATGGTGTTTTCCACTCTTTGTCCCAACCGCACGTAATCTCTGTATTGGCACAAGGCAGTGTGTCTTCTGGAAAGATGAGATATATTCCTGTGCAGTACCTCCACTGCTCAGATGGGATCTATTGGACAGTCGTGTGTCTTTTGGTGAGATGACATCTCCTTCCTCAGTGAAGCGCAACTAGGAGGGCTGCATCTTTATGACAGCGCATAGCTTACATGCAATCGGGTTGTTGTTTTTTTGTCCACTAATGTGCTGTTATTCAAATATTACATTATCGCTGGGGGGGGGGGAGGCGGAGCAGTGGTGCATTCTAGAACCAGTGATCTGATGGAGAATGATATCCGAACTGGTTCTGGGGTCTCCTTTCTCACCACGGGATCAGTGTGATAAATAATACAACAAAAAAACCCATTGACTCACCCAGCTGTAGGGGGCTCTCATCCAGCAACTGCTTGAAAAGTAGCTGAAACGCATGCGTATATATGTTGAACTTCTTTCGCACCGTACGTAGCCAACCGTGCTAATGGGAGGTGCCAAATCGAGAAGTGCGGCTAATCGGAGGTGCGGACATGTGAAATTAACGTGCAGAGCATTAATGCTGTGGACGGCCAGAGGAATGCTGGGTGCAGCATCAATGCTGTGAAACGCGCAAACGATCTACAAAAGCTGCCTGACTTGACAATGCATTTCCACGACGCCGTCTAAGTGCGTCGCGCAATGTACCACAACGTCTCTCCAAGACCTGAGCCGTATACTCCATTAGTCCCGCAGGGTCAGAGTGCTGTGTGCTTGGTGGCACGGACAGAGCAACGCAACGCAGAGCCCTCTTCACGGGGCGGGGCAAGCAGCGTGGGTGACAGCCGCTTCCCTGTGTGGAGCGAACCGAGTCCCCGCTCGCTGTGCAGCAAAGTGCTGCTGCTGCTGGTGGGCGGGCGGGCCGGCGTGCTGGGAGCGATGGGTTCACTTACCGCTATTTAACGATTTTTTTTTAAATCTTACTAGGTAAGGCCCACTGAGCTACTATACAGCTCTTATTCAGAAGTGACCTGGCCACGAATGATAGCCCAACGAAGCGGCTCATCGTGTGGACACTGATAGCAGCCGAAACAAAAACCCGCGAACGCGTGACGTTGCTTCTCAAAGTGTAGAGGGGGGGGAAAGACCCCGGAGGACACGTCAACGGGGCGAACCGCTCGCACGCCTCGTGCGGAGGACAACGCGCGAGGAATGCGTGTCATCGCCAATATCCACTACATTTCCTCCTCGGCAGATGTTTTCCGCGTTTGGCAACGGGCAGCCACGGCCCCCCCCGCCGCCCCCCTCCCCCCCCCCTCCCCCCCTTCTCTCCACTTGCCGTCGAAACCTCGTCATGCTCGCCCTCGGGCCGCGGTCGCTGCGCCGCCACGCGTTGCTTCACGTCCTCTCCCTTGTGCTCGTCGACGCCCTGCGACCGCCAGAGACGGACCTCCGCATCACCCTGGGAGGGACGCCCCGCTGCGACGGCGGGTTCGCCGGCAGGGTCTGGTTCGACGCGCGGAAGAAATCCCTGCATCTGTGCAACGGCACCCACTGGGCGTCGTTGTTCCGAGGTGACCGCTCACGAGAAGCAGCGCGCGCGCGCGCGAGCTCCTAGACACGGCCACGTCGCGCCCCCCCCCCCCCCCCCGCGCGACGCCCGCGGGCCAACGCGTAACCCCTTGCAGACGCGAAACGAACCCGCGGCAGCTTTAAGGGCTTGGCCGTGTGCGGTTCGTCGCACGTCTTGCTAAACCGGCCGCACGTACCCGCGCGGCTCCAAGAGCCGTCGCTCTTGACGCCCGGTTGTGCGAGCGTTGTTCGTTATGAAAACTTTCCGGCGTTATTATTGTTGTAAATTTTTGTTTGAGGGGCAGCGATCTCGGGTAAATATGAGATATCTGGGATAATAAGTTTGAGCCGATGTGGTGCCTGTGGCTCGCTGGTTGAATGTGAATCTCTCTGCATGAGAGCTCCATTTCTGTCCGACTTGTGGCATAAATTTACCAATGGCTCCATCATGGTGGGGAGGGGCGGGGGAGGGGGAGAGCCAAAGCGACGCGGTTTTTTCTTTTTTACAATTTACAACAAGATGTCAATCTAGAGCGAGGGGTCGGAAACCAAAATAACAAGCGGAGCCATTTTTTTGTGGGGGGGGGGGGGGGGGATTCGGTTAACAACAACCCCCCCCCCCCCCAAAAATATATTTCTAGAACGTTCAACGTGCACGTGAATGTGCGACGGTGGTGGTTCTTTAATAAATCGTGGTCACGAAGGTGGTGCCCTAAAGAGCCGCGTGCATGCGGGTTGCCAACCCCCTGATCTAGAACAAAAAATGTAAAACTCAGAAAACAGCATGAATTAAGAACGTATTAAGACATGAATAAAGCATTGATACAGTAATGTAATCGTGAATGTGAGCTACACACTGCATGTGCGTCGACGCTACGTTGGTTTCGGGGCGAACTGACTGCCGTAACCGTTTGGCATGTTTTATTCGGGCCAGCTGGGGAGAGACTCAATTACATTGACGACCACCAGAACCTGGTGGCCAACTCGGGGACGCGGGACATTGAGGTGTTTGAGATCAAGCACGTCGGCATGTTTGCCGCCGTGGCGAGCGACGACGCCAATGCGGGCTCCATCATCTTCAAGTGGAGCAACGGAACGTTCCAGAGCTACCAGGTCATCCAGACCAACAAGGCGGAGAAGTGGGAGTTCTTCACGATCGCTAAAGACGTGCGTCCGCTTTTGGCTTTGCCGGTTATTTCCCCCCCGATGTATTGCCGCGTCGTTACCAAGTCTCTTCGCAGAGCCTTTTCTGCCACGGTGGCTAGGAGATGTTGACTAACTCGCCTGGTATACAGGAGGTCGTGAGTTCGATCCCGACCCTGATGCCTGCTGTATGTTTGGAGTTTGCGTGTTTTCTCTCCCCGTGGTCATATGGATTTTTTGCGGGCCCTCCAGTTTTTTCCCGTTTAGAGTGGTTGGCTGCTATAAATGTCCACGTTATAAGCCACTTCATTGGGCTATCAATTGTGGCCAGGTCGCTTCTGAAAAAGAGCGATATAGTTCGGTCAGAATTACCTGGTAAAATATATTTTTTTAAAATGTTCAGTTTCAAATAGTTTGTGTCCAACTAAAAGGATACTGCCTGAGACCCGATTGAGGATGGCTGACCCACATGACAGGGGAATATCAACTATGGCCCTCTGGGCGAGGAGTGGCTCCTCTCTTGCCTCACTCGTCAGGATGTCTGCGGCTGTACGAGGCGGAGGCTGGGGTGGGGGGGGGGGGTGACCAGAGGTCCTCGTGGCTTGTCGAGATTGCTTCGGAGGGGGAGGGGGGGCGGTGGGGGGGGCTTTGCCAGGAGGGACCCTCGGGGGTTCGTGCCTCATTGAGGACGCTCCCATTGGACTTGCAGTGCTTCTCGCACAGACACCGGCCCCCTCCATCAGCACGCCGCGATCGCTCCCCTCGCGATGCTCACTCGGCTGAGCGAGCGCCGTTGCGGGTTTTAGAGATTTGAGCCGCCACCTGCGGTGTACTCGGCTAGAGATTGAACCGGGGTCACGGGGACCCTCAGCACGGTGCACAAAACCACGATGCCGCCGCTCTCTGATACGTACAGACACACGCGCGCAACGCACGCGTACAGACGCACGTGAGATCCACGCGTGTGCTTCGTGCGACAGTCGTACCTGGTCGTCGCCAATCTGGGCAGCGACGCGAGCGGGCAGGAGTTCTCGGTGGTGTACAAGTGGAACCGGCGCCAGCGCCTCTTCGTGCCGTACCAGCGCATCGTCACGCACAGCGCCCGCGACTGGGAATCGTTTCGCATCGGCGGGGAGACCTACCTGGCAGTGGCCAACCACGCAAAAGGTGCTCTGTCCAGCCGCACGCACACATACACACACTAGTGCCTCTATCTAGCACTAACAATTTGTGTAATTTATTTTACCAGGCAAGGCCCACTGAGCTATATAGCTTTTTTTTGTCAGAAAGGACCTGGCCACAAATGATAGCTGAATGATGTGGCTTATCAAGTGCAAATTTACAGCAGCCAAAAATACTCTAAAAGCGTGTTTCTAAATGTGGAGGGAAAAACGGGATGACCCGGAGAAAAATCCACTCGACCCCGGGGAGAACATGCAACCTCCAAATATACGTCAGGCGTCAGGGTCGGGATCGAATCCACAACCTCCTGCATACCAGGCGAGGGAGTTAACATCTCGCCACTGTGGCACAACGTGGGTCAACCGCTATTCTCCACTAACTGGCAATGATGTGCCCACGGTAAATTGTGGCCAGGCTAGGTGCAAGGCTCGCATTGGACATGCACTCATTTACAAAATAAATACACATGCACGGACGCCTTTGTCTCCCCGGGGGCGATGTTTACACACCACACTAGGTACTCATTTGAGTCTGAGTCGACCAAAGGGAGGCCCAGGATTGGTTATATATTTTCGTAACTGGTGTTGGCCACGAGTGGGAATTGAACCTGTGTTTGTAGTGCAGTAAAACCACTCTCCACGGCTTAACGGAGAGTGACTGGCTTTGGCTTTGGCCAGTCACTCTCTCACTCACACACTCACACCCACTGCCATAGGGTAGCATGAACACGGGAAAATAAAAATCAATGGGAAGCCAGCCCGTGTATTCTCATGGGTCCGGAAACCCAGCGATTGCCAGGTGCTGCCCACTTTATGCCCAGCCAGCAGTCATTAAATCCATGAAAATTAAATGAGAGGCCATTACAACTGCGCAGTTGCCTGTGTTGTATCATTCCCCACTTGGCGAAGCCAGCGTAGTCCGTGGCCAGGCTTGCCAACGACGTTCGGCTACAGCTGATATCTCCCGTAACCCACTTGGGCCAGCAGTGTGCTCACGGAAACCGTCCCCCGATATAACGGACCGCAAATGCAAAACCTGACGATTAAAACCGATCGTGTGTTGTTTTTCAACAACAACAACAAACAACAAAAAAAGCAACTGTCTCGCGATGACGCCCGCAGACCAGAACCTTCTGACGGACAGCGTCATCTACAAGTGGAACTGCCACGAGCGGCGCTTCGACGAGTTCCAGCGCGTGCCCACGGCCGGCGCCTACGACTGGGAGTTCTTCCGCGTCGGGGCCTTCTCCTTCCTGGCCGTGGCCAACACCTACGACGGCGCCTCCACGCGCGTCGAGTCGCGCGTCTACGTGCTCCAGACCGGCAGCTTCGTCTTCTTTCAGGCCATCGAGGTAGCTGGCCCCGTCACGTCGTCGCCGCCGCCGTGCTTGCGCTGGCGCTCCACGCCACCCTAGAATCTGCCCCCACTGTGGCTTGGGGCCTCGTATCGGGGCGCCGCAGGTGGCGAGATGTTAACTACTCCGCCTGGTATACAGGAGGTCGTATAGATCCCGACCCTGACGATGCCTGCTGTATATTTTTGCATTTTCCCTCTCCCCACGGTCGCGTGGATTTTTCCGCGGGTCCTCCGGTTTTTCCCTCCACATTCAGAATCATAATGCGTGTCCAGTAATTGACTGTTATAAATTTGCACTTGATAAGCCACTTCGTTGAGCTATTATTTGGGGCCAGGTCGCTACTGAAAAAGACCTATATAGCTCAATGGGCCTTACCTGGTAAAATAAAATAAAACGTTTCGTTTTAGTATCTCTACAACGGGCAGCAGAATTAATTCTCATGAAGCTGCTGAATTAATCAAAAGAGGCCATACAGGTGAATTCTCTACTTGGTGGAGAAACTACACTGGGGCCCAGACGCCGGGCTGCACAGTGCGTAGCCAATCTGACAGGGCGACCCCATTGCATTCCATGCACCTGACCATATCTGTGTATGTTGAACTTCTTTCGCACCGCACGTAGCCACCCGTGCTAATCGAAGGTGCGCACCAGGCCTACACCAATCACACTACGCCGCAGCATTAGATGTAACTCACCACGTGGCACGCTACGTTTTGCCGTGCGTGTTTCACTGCGTCCAGCTATTACGCGCATCGGCTCCCTGCGGTTGTACTCGAGAGTAAATTCTCGTCAGCGTGTGCGCACGTACAATTATGACGAACTTATCTTGAGTGCGGGAGGGCGCGTGGATCCCCCCTCTTTATCTCTACCTCTACGGAGCCCCTCGCGTGCTCACAAATGTCTACAGTAACTTCTGAGCTTGCCTCCGGCTATCCGGCATCTCGGCTGTTATCACACCGCTTATCTTATCTTTGGCACCTCCACGTGTGTAACTTTCATGTCCTTTTTCCCGAGCGCACGGCTCTGCGCGAAAGGCCTTTCAACTCCTGACAGCGACCACCACCATCAGGGCCTCTAGAAACACCGCAACAAGGCACCGGGGTTGTGGCATCCAAAGCATTGCGGTTTGTTGGTTCCGGCACTCTGAGCTCAGCCGGTGCGGTTTGTGCACACTGACACGCTCAATATGACCGTGTGGCCCACTCGCAAAAGCAAATCAGATTTAAACTCGCGCCTAATTGTGCTTTTACATAACAGAGGAGGGGGGGGGGAGGGAGTTTTTTTGTTCGATTAGATCGCGCAAATGTAAACGTGTCATTAGACTCGCCGCCATCCGACACAGCCAATCAGTAAAGTTTGTCACGTAACCAAAACCTGCACATTAGTTACTGGTTCAGCACACAGGTGTGTTGGAGAATAAACCCACAACATTTAGAATTCGAGTACGACGTTTCGCCAGTAATAACAACTCGCCGGTAATTACAACCAGCATCATCCGGCGATCTAACCAAACAAAAAACCTCGATTACGGATAATATTGGGTCGCTGAAGACCTTCGTGTTAAATTGTACTTTTGTGGATTTTTTTTATTGATTCCGACCTCTAGCCGAACCCACAAAAAAGGGAACGCTGTTAAACACAATGACGTAGCGGCGACGTCGAGAATCAAAACGTGGAAGGGTTGCGCAAAGGTGCCCGTGTGCTGTGACCCTGGCCGCCCCTTGCCAGTGTGGCTGCCTCCCAGTCATAGGGGTAGATCTTTTGTCGGGGCCCCTAGGCAAGTGGCAGTGGTGTAAACTGCGCTGATTGGCTTATTGTCTTGCCCGCTGACAGGATAGATTGCCCCCCCCCCCCGGATGGCTGCTTCCGGGGCCCCCTGTGTTATGCCGCACTGGCGCAACAGCTGCGCAGCCCAAGCTCCCGGTGTCAAACTCCGCTCGCGATGGCGGAGGTCACGTCTCCGCTGTGTGGCGGCGGTGATATCTGCTAGAAGGAAGGGATGGGTTTTGCAAGACGAGTGCCTCCTCGGTCACCCGGAGGAGCTGCGTCTGAATGAGATGAAGGGGGTGGCACATGAGAGGCAGTGTTCATTAGGGGGGCACGGTCTCTCATAGAGCCTCCCCCGTGGAAACACCACGAAAGAGACGGAGTCGCTCATTGCACATTTGGGTTGGTTGGGGGGATTTGTTGGCAGGTTCAGCAGATGTTGAGCGAGCGAGTGAGTCAGAGAGTGATTGAGAGAGCAAATGAGTGAGTGAACAAGTGAGTGAGAAAGTGAGTATGTGAGCGAGTGAGTGTGTGAGCGAATGAGTGAGCAAGTTAGTGAGCGAGTGAGCAAGTAAGTGAGTAAGCGAGCGAGTGAGTGTGTGAGTGAGTGAGAAAGCGAGTGTGAGGGTGAGTGGATGTGCGCATGAGTGTGTCAATGAGTGAGTGAGTGTGCAAGCAAGTGAGTATGAGAGTGAGTGAGTGAGCAAGTTAGTGAGTGTGTGCGGGAGCGAGAAACTGTGTGAGCGCGCGAGTGAGTGAACGAGTGAGCGAGTGCGTGATGAAGCGAATGAGTGAGTGAGCGAGCGATGCTTGAAGGGAGAATCCTCACCCATACAGGTTCAGCGGGATGTGCGCCACCTCGGTTGCGACCGATCTCCCGTGGTGCAGAGGTCGTGGTGTCCTCCTGTCCGCCCGCAGACGTACGGTGCCACCGACTGGGAGGCGTTCATGATCGAGGGCAGGACGTTCCTGGCCGTGGCCAACGGCGTCGACTTCGGGCCCCACATCATGAACACGAGCGAGTACGCCATCAACTCGACAATCTACGAGCTCAACGTGGCCGAGCTCATGTTCGTCAAGTTCCAGGACATCCTCACCTACAGGTGAACCCGCGCCGCGGCGTGTGCTCCGCTACCCCCGCCAGGCGCCTCAACGGTTGGTGGGACCACGCGCGTGTCGACGAGCCTCCGGCCCGGCGCCATTTTTGAACTGCGGCACCTTCTGATAAAGCGGCAAATTACCGCGGCGAAAATTAGAGGCCAGGCAAGTGGAGATTAGCGCGTAATCCGCTAATTTCACGAAACCCGAACGCAACCGACCCGGAGCCACCGGCCAAACGTGACCCCGGCTCCCGGTCCACGTGAATCACGTGCCTAGCTCCAACGCCCTCAGGGGGACAAGTAAATGCGGATGCGACGGTTCTAGCTTTGTGTCCAACGCTGGTGAGTTTGCCGCATGATGATGAAATAGTTGAATTCTTTGAGCTTTAGATTTTTACCGCTTGAGGAGGCCAAGTGGCTCAGAGGTCAGAGCGCTGAGCTGCCACCGCTGGGTCGTGGTTTCTAATCCAGACAGCGGCAGCCTGTGATAATTAAAACCAGATGGTCACAGCCCAAGTGGCCGTTACATTAAATATGGTGCTGCACTTAATTTGTCTTATAATCAAGGTCTGAGAAGTAAATATTTGTGTGTTTGATTGCCATGTGATGAACATCACTCTCAGTCTCAGAGTGGGTAGAAATATACTGCCAACTGCTTTGGGGACCAGAGGTCACTTGAAAGGGATCTCAGGGGGTACAATTTTATTTTAGTATTTTTCATTTTACCAGGTAAGGCCCACTGAGCTGTATAGCTCTTTTTTCAGAAGCGACCTGGCTACAGATGATAACTCATCATGTGTAAATGTTGTTGCAGCCAAACACTCTGAACGCATGGTGTCGTTTCTAAATGTGGAGAGAAAACCGGAGGAGCCGGAGAAAAATCCACGCCACCATGAGGAGAGAGGACATCCAAACTCCAAATATACAGGCGTCAGGGTCAGGATTGAATCCACGACCTCCTGTATACCAGGCGCTACACCACTGCTCCCGCACAGGGGTGCCGCGTTGGCGAGATGTTAACTACCTTGATTTGAAGCTTTCGTGACTGCAGGAATCCATACTCTTTGGTTCTTTCGGTAAAGTCACGTGGGTATAAAAAAGTAATAGATCACGACGTTTCGATCGCAACACAAGCAACCATCATCAGGTGTGAAACAAACACAGCAGGAGGACTGCTGACGGTTGCTTGTGTTGCGATCGAAACGTCGTGACCTATTAGTTTTTTCTAGCTACGTGACTTTACCGAAAGCACCAAAGAGTGTGTTAACTACCGTCTGAAAAGTTACTTTATAGCCCCGTGGGGCCTTACCTGGTAAAATAAAACAAATATGGAAAAAAATGCGTACCTCTGAGAGCCCTTTCAATTGGCCTCTGATCCACAGATCATGTGGCCAGTATTTCCCAGCCACTCTGCCACCGAGATCAATGTCCATCGCACGACAATCACACAGATACATTTGAATTGTTCAGAGCAGTGGCTTGCTGCACGCACGCACCGAGGGAAACCCTCCTCACACGGCCGGTGGGCATGGATGCAGAGAGCCACCCTCGTCACACCACAAGGTGGCAATGTGATCCACGATCTTCAAATACCCCCCCCCCTCTCCACGACGTTCAACCGTTGATTTGTTTTCCCAGTGCCACCGACTGGGAGTTTTTCACCGTTGGGGATGAAAAATACCTCATCGTCGCCAACTCGTTCGATGGCTCAAGCTACTCGTTAAACAGTGTTATATACAGGTGAGCACTCGACTGTAACATCGACAAAGTTGGTATCATGTCATCGCGCAGAGCCATCGGCCAATCGTCGTCGTCCGCATAGCGTGCTCCGTTGTGAAGAATTACATGCAGAGGATGATCCATTCTGTAGGTACCGCCCTGACAATAACGGGGGAGAATGTACGTGGAGTACAACGAGTCTCGTTTGAAAGTCTCGACACGTCCCCCCCAAACACACTCTACGCGACTCATTTGCGTGCTTTTAACACTCTGCTCAAGCGTGCTGCCACCTTATCACTCTGCCCCCCCCCCTGCGTAAGATACGGAGATGTCGCTTTGACGATACTCAATCATCTGTCAAGAAGAAACGCAATAGAGGGTCGCTGGAGATCAGTGGGGGTACCTATATACTGTATGGACTGCCCTGTGCAAGGGTGGTCGGTGTTTTTTTTTCTCCGCAAGAGATGCAGTGTTGCGTGAGGCTCATGCGATGCAGCCTCGAGAATTCACTAACGATCCTTAATTGAGTTGGCATTGATCGGTAATGATGGCATCTAAGGGGAGTCGCTCAATCTGTGCCCCCTCGGGGCCAGATAATGCCGGGGTCCTTTAGGGGCTCTGGCCCAGGGCCCAGAATTTTGAGAGCCCAGCCATAAAATACGGAGCGCTTTATAACGGGCGAATGCAAGCACTGTGATAAACCCTAATTTGGAAATGGAAACCCATAGACCTCACTATGTTGAACAGGGACAGTTATGGGCCGACATGAAAAGGGGTTTTGTCCGTTTTAACTTTGGTTCGCTTTATAATACTCACCTCGTGTATTTAGAAACCGGAGCTGAATAGCCAAGGTGAGTAACAACGGAGCGTTTGACATCGGCCATGGGTGGTGGTAGAGAGTATTTGTTTTTTTAAGTCCAAATTATCACTGAGGCAGCACTCATCTCCAGTTTACAGCCTTGAGCCAGCGGTGGAAAGTCCACATTCCTATGCCGGGGTGGGGGGGAGGAAGTCTATCCACGGGCCAACCGCTGTTGACTTCTCTGCAAAGTGGCGCTCGTTTTTTTTTCTCTTGACCCTGGAGGAGTTGAGAACTCACGACGACCTCCCTCTTGCGGGCCACTCCCGCAGACCACTCGGCCAGCCTGCCCGGCTGTCAAGGAAGGAATTGAACAAACAAAAGAGGTGGAGGGGGGGGGGCCCGCATCGAAACAACCCCGGGGCCACATTTTAAACTCAACCCCCCACCCCTCTTGCCCTCTCCGCCGCGGTTCATCGCCCGCGTGTGTAACGCGGGCCCCCCCCCGCGCGTGCCCTCCCCCCCCCCCCCCCCCCACAGGTGGCAAGGCTACGAGCGCTTCGTGCCGGTGCACCGCCTGCCCACGGTGGCGTGCGCCGACTGGGAGAAGGCCGACATCGGGGACCAGCGGTACCTCCTCTACTCCAACGCGCACGAAAAGGTGTCCAAGGTGCTCAGGCTCAACGTGTCGTGAGGGAGGGTTGGGGGGCGGGGGAATGAGCGGTCGTGGGAGACGCGAAAGCCGTGGTGGTGGTGGTGGGGTGGCAGGGGTGCATTTGGAACACGCCGGTATCTCCACTGGCCACCCTCCCCCCACCCGCACGTGGCTCCCATCGCGCTGGGCGGGCGACTGAGATGCACCCTGAGGCGTCAAGCATTACAAGCAGGAGGTTTGTTTTTTTAAAAGAAAAAACCCGTATATATAAACAATATGTATTTTATTTATGCTTTTCAACAACAGCAGTACGGAACCGAAGTGGACGGTTCAGTGGGTGATGGGGGGGAAACGCGTGGACAGGCAGCTAGCTGTGTTACCAGCTGTGATCTAGGAAACTGGATGGAAAGCTGGAGAGGGGGGGGGGGGCAGGGAGGAATGAGAAGAAACTCGGGGAATAGTCAAGGAGGGGACTGGGGAAGAAGAAGAAGAAGAGGAGAGTGAGCGGGACGGGGGTGGGACGGGGATTGTTTTGAACGCTGCTGCTGCTGTTGTTGTTGTTGCGTCTCCACGCTGCGTTTCGTCGCCATGCCCTGGTGAGCCGAACGAGCCGCTGCTAAGGAACCGCCAGACATGAGCCCTTGCTGTGCCGCCGGATGTTAGCGCGGCGACGTTAGTGCGGGGACGTTAGTGTGGGGACGTTGGCGGGGCGACGTTAGCGACGTTAGCGCGGCGACGTTAGTGTGGGGATGTTAGTGTGGCGACGTTAGTGTGGCGACGTTAGTGTGGCGACGTTAGTGTGGGGATGTTGGCGGGGCGACGTTAGCGACGTTAGCGCGGCGACGTTAGTGTGGGGATGTTAGTGTGGCGACGTTAGTGTGGCGACGTTAGTGTGGGGATGTTAGTGTGGTGACATTAGTGTGGGGACGTTAGTGTGGGGACGTTAGTGTGGCGACGTTAGTGTGGGGACGTTAGTGTGGGGACGTTAGTGTGGCGACGTTAGCGTGGCGATGTTAGCACGGCGACGTTAGCGCGGGGACGTTAGTGTGGGGACGTTAGCGACGTTAGTGTGGGGACTTTAGTGTGGGGATGTTAGTGTGGCGACGTTAGTGTGGGGACGTTAGCGTGGGGACGTTAGCGTGGGGACGTTATCGCGGGGACGTGAGTGCGGGGACTGCCGCCCAATGTTGTCCTCCCCGATGGTGCTTCATTGCAGGTGCTGTTTGCGCGTGGTGTACGATTTGTACGTACGTTGAACTTCTTTTGCACCGTACGTAGCCAACCGTGCTAATCGAAGGTGCTTAGGCAAGGGCAGCTAAAACAGCACTCACAGTCGTCAGCATCTCTTACCGGTTGCACAAAGCCAACATTTGGCACGTCTGCTGAAAGACAAAATGAGTTTTAACCAATGCATTCAGGTGTAAATACATTCACTATAAATAATAATGAGAATAAGTCCCACGACTACAATGCTATGTTTTCATATAATATATCGGATTATATTGTTAATATTATAAAATTTTAAGGAACTATGTCGTCGCTACATTTAATATATGCATGGCCAGTGTTGCTTTACGGGCTGGCTAGCGGTGTGCTTTTAAAGCCAGGACCACCACGCCCAAGCAATCAGTTGCGCAACCAAATCGCTCTCAAATTTTAAAGAGACTTAACCGTCCGCAACTGCTTAGTCCACATCTGAGTGAGCAGTTGCGCAACACAGAAAAACTAAAGAGTGCATTTAAACAGTCGCTGCAAATAATCATGAATATGATTCATGACGTGCACGTATTTCAGGAATCGGATGCAATATTCTATCGGGAACTCAGAGGCGCAGAGCCAGAGCTTAAAGTCCTTCATACACCAGCCTACACAGTTGAGAGAGCCTGGATCAGGTGAGATCCGGACAGGTGAGAGCCTGAACAGGTGAGAACCTGGACAGGTGAGAGCCTGGACAGGTCAGAGCCTGGATAGGCAAGAACCTGAACAGGTGAGAGCCTGGACAGTTGAGAACCTGGACAGCTGAGAGTCTTGATCTGACGCATGAAGGTGGATGATGGTGCTCACATGCTGCTAAGAATTTGCAGCAGTGAGAGAGAGTTGCAGATGGCCACTGCCGATGTAGCTACGGGGAAACACCGCTCAGCCAGGACGGTGCTGGTGCTGGATGCGATGAGCCGGTTGTTAGGTGAGCTCCGTAGGAAGCAGCAGTTTTCTGTGGTCAGTGGAGCGAGAAGTGTGGGGAGGTACGGTGGCGGGGGGGGCCTTGAGAGAGAGCTCAGTGGCACGGGACAGCAATCAGGGGCACCGCGGTGGTGAGATGTTAACTACTTCACCTGGTATGCAGGAGGTTGTGGGTTCGATCCCAACCCTGACGCCTGTATATTTGGAGGTTGCGTGTATCTCTCTCCTTGGTCGCGTGGATTTTTATCTGGGTCCTCTGGGTTTACTCCTCCACATTTAGAATCAACGTTGCGTTCAGAGTATTTTGGCTGCTATATATTTCCACCTGATAAGCGACTTTGTTAAGCGAGCATTTGTGGCCATGTCACTTCTGAAAAGGAGCTATATAGATCAGCGGGCCTTACCTGGTAAAATAAAATAAAAAGCATTAGCTGTCCTGTATCCTTGCATTTATGGGGAATCAGTGCAAGGTGTTTAGCCATGGAAACAATGTGTTCGTTGAGCAGATCGCTTAAAAAAGGAGTCTGTTTCTACTGTGAGAAACCAGTTTGTGCAACTGCGCGTATTTGGTCGCAGATATCAGTTGCACGCAACCCAGTTGCGCAATAGATTCCTGCAATGAGAGGTATACTGGATGTGCTGTGCCAGGTGCGGATACATTTCTTGGTTGCCAAACCGGGACAGAGCCGGCTGAAATTAACGCTGGTCTCTCGCATAGAGGGCCATAGACCCACACCGGGGGAGGGTGTTGGTGCATTGTTATGTGTTGTCACGTGTCGTCGCGTTGTTCCGTGTTGTCACGTGTCGTTGCGTTGTCGCTTGTTGTCGTGTTGTCACGTGTTGTCACGTCGTCGCTTCGTCGTGGTGTCACGTGTCGTCGCGGTGTGATATGTCATCGCGTCGTCACGTGCTGTAGCGTCGTCGCATAGTCACGTGTCGTCATGTCGTCGTGTTGTCACGTGTCGTCACGTCGCTGCATTGCAGGTGTCGTGTCGTCGCACGTGTCGTTGCGTCATCGCGTTGTCACGTGTCATCACGTCGTCACGTTGTCATGTGTCGTTGTTGTCACGTGTCGTCGCGTCATCGCGTTGTCACGTGTCGTCTCGTCGTTGTGTTGTCATGTGTCATCGCGTTGCCATGTGTCATCGCGTTGTCACGTTTCATTGCGTCGTCGCGTTGTCGCGTGTCATTGCATCATCGCGTTGCCACGTGTCATCGCGTCGTCGCCTTGTCACGTGTCGTCGTGTTGTCACGTGTCATTACATCATCGCGTTGTCACGTTTCATCGCGTTGCCACGTGTCATCGCGTCGTCGCCTTGTCACGTGTCATCGCGTCGTCGCACTGTCGCGAGTTGTCGTGTTGTTGCCTTGCCACGTGTCATCGCGTTGTCACGTGTCATTGCATCATCGCGTTGTCACGTTTCATCGCGTTGCCACGTGTCATCGCGTCGTCGCCTTGTCACGTGTCATCGCGTCGTCGCACTGTCGCGAGTTGTCGTGTTGTTGCCTTGCCACGTGTCATCGCGTTGTCACGTGTCATTGCATCATCGCGTTGCCACGTGTCATCGCGTCGTCGCATTGTCGCGAGTCGTCGTGTTGTCGCCTTGTCACGTGTCATCGCGTTGTCACGTGTCATTGCATCATCGCGTTGTGACGTTTCATCGCGTTGCCACGTGTCATCGCGTCGTCGCGAGTCGTCGTGTTGTCGCCTTGTCACGTGTCATCGCGTCGTCGCGTTGTCACATGTCATTGCATCGTCGCGTTGTGACGTTTCATCGCGTTGCCACGTGTCATCGCGTCGTCGCGTTGTCGCGAGTCGTCGTGTTGTCGCCTTGTCACGTGTCGTCGCGTTGTCACATGTCATTGCATCGTCGCGTTGTGACGTTTCATCGCGTTGCCACGTGTCATCGCGTCGTCGTGTTGTCGCGAGTCGTCGTGTTGTCGCCTTGTCACGTGTCGTCGCGTTGTCACGTGTCATTGCATCATCGCGTTGTCTCGTTTCATCGCGTTGCCACGTGTCATCGCGTCGTCGCGTTGTCACGAGTCGCCGTGTTGTCGCCTTGTCACGAGTCATCGCGTCGTCGCGTTGTCACAAGTCGCCGTGTTGTCGCCTTGTCACGTGTCATCGCGTCGTCGCGTTGCCACGTGTCATCGCATCGTCGCTTTGCCACGTGTCATCGCGTCGTCGCTTTGCCACGTGTCATTGCGTCGTCGCCTTGTCACGTGTCGTCGCGTCATCGCGTTGTCACGTGTCGTCGCGCTATTGTGACGACGTGACGGTTGCGACGCTCGCGAGTGCAATATGTCGCTGCTCGGCAAGTAGGCGGCCTGGGTTCCACTCCGCAAACTAAAACCTCTCAAAGTATCGGTGCTCGTAATTATCGATCTATTTAAGATGGGTGACAGGGGAACAACACAAAAACACTGGAGATTGGAAAAATTACGAGAAATTATTGGTGCTTTTCAAAATACAAAAGTATTTTGTACAATTTTTATATTAACGCTTTGTATTTTTTTTCTACAAAAAACAATGCACATGTATTTGTATTATTATCATTGTGCTGCACAGTAATTAAATTGTGACAAATGCTACATATTGTAGAAGAATACAGCGGTGCTCAAATGATAGAGAAGACGCAGTCACCTAGGGTGGCAGGGTTGCGGAGTGGTCGCACATCACAGACAGAAGGCCCTGGGAGCGATTCGATTGAGATGCCTTTCTCTGTGGGGTTTGTATGTTCTCCCTCTGCTCTGCAGAGTGAGTGTGAGTGAGTGTGTGTGAGTGTGAGTGAGTGTGTGTGAGTGTGTGTGAGAGTGAGTGTGGGGTTTGTATGTTCTCCCCCTGCTCTGCAGAGTGAGTGTGAGTGAGTGTGTGTGAGTGTGATTGAGAGTGTGTGAGTGAGAGTGAGTGTGGGGTTTGTATGTTCTCCCCCTGCTCTGCAGAGTGAGAGTGCGTGAAGGTGAGTGAGTGTGTGTGAGAGTGAGTGTGAGAGTGTGAGAGTGAGTGAGTGTGTGTGAGTGAGTGTGAGTGAGTGTGGGAGTGAGTGTGGGGTTTGTATGTT